TGTGGAATTATGATTTTCGATGAAATTGCAACAATAATCAGCGTAAAAATAAATAAAAGTGAATCTATGAATAATCTTTGAATAATATAAAGTGTTAAATTAACGGGACTAATCTGATTGGAAGACATTACCCCAAGTTTTTATCTCGTTCCACTTGTAAAAGATCACAATCTTGTTTGTCCCGATGCTGGCTCGTAAAAAATGCACAGACGCGTCTAAAGAGAGAGAAATATGATGTGTTGATGTGTAAGCAGATAAAACTGCGGTGATTCATTATGTTTATGTCAAAGCAAATTCTTTGATTTGCGCGACCGGTCGAGCGACTCGTGTAACGCGAACATCAAGGAATTCTGACAGCAAATGGAAAGACGATCCTTTCACACGGTTCGTTGAATTTTAAAGCACCGGCAAGGGTAGCGAATGGGGGAAACTTGAGGAAAACTCGGGGAGATCGTTGGCGACAGGTAATTGCATTGCAAAATTGCGCGCGAAGGCTCCTCGCTCGTCCCGCGGCCCTTGCCCGAATCAGAATCCCCATTATTGCCCGCCTGTCCGTTTTTGGCCCGAGCACGAACTATTCTTATATACAAGAATGAAAGTATTATATTCTTCTCTTTCGCGTGACACGCGAAAAATGGCTCTCGCGCAAATTAAGCGAGGGCCTGTGTGAACGGAACGACTGGTTTCGTTTAGCGCCCTGTCTTTCATCAATACCACACGACTGTGCTACAATCAGAATTGGTGAGACGCCCCACCTAGAGTGTAGGGAGGCCCAGGTTCAAACCCTGGCTGAGGTAATATTTTTCGCAATGAATCTTTAATTAGAATTTGCCAGACATGCGTCGTCATGCAATTTTCTACATTGGTTAATCAGAATAGAGTTCTTGACTCGCGAAATATGAAAGAAATCACGGGCGTCGTTGATTTCTTTATGAGTAACATAGCATAATTTTCGTCTTACCATTTTCCTCACGAAACCTGTGTGTGCCCACAGGGAGATCGAAAACGTTATATCGCGACTAAATTATTGTTACTTTATAATGACGGGACGAAATGAATTTAATACTATTTTGCAGAAGAAAGCCGTTTTTTCTAGCCCGTAATGTAAAAAGATGCTCGTTTTGTAGTAATAAACGTTATGAAAAAAAAATTCAGCTAACATACACAGTGATATATGTTTGGAAAACCTTAGAATGGGACTCTACTTCCACGAAAGGAATTTACTTGAAATTTTTCGAAGACATACTCTCTCAATTTTTTGGAGTGGAATCTCACTCTTTTGGAGTGAGATTTCACTCTCGAAGAAATAATGAAAATACTGCCAGTCCGAATGGAGTGAAAAGAGTGCCGTCATTCACTCTTTACTTTGATCGATTCTGCAACTCTGAAAAGTTTTGCTTTAATCGATTATTGTTAGCAGGATCGAATTCATGGACGAAAGGTTCGCTAGCGTTTGTTCACTATGACCTTCGCGTATAGAGGCTGTATTCTAATGTTCACAGCCAGTGTTGAAAATCTATAATTTATGTGGCAGTTTCGCTTATTCTGCTGATTGTCATAGAAGAGCCGTACCAATCTCTGACGGGGTTTCTCGTATGCCGGACTATCGTGTTCTTACTTACAAGTCCGGCGGCCATCTAGTGGCGGAATAGCGTACTTTAAGTTGGAGTGTATTGTTGAGTGCTAACGACTTCACTTTTTGTCTTAGAGTGAATTAATTCATTAACGAGAGGTAATCTTCAATGTCGTCAGCAGTAATTAAAAAATTTCAATAATTACGTGAACGTGTCTGGCAAATTTAAATGTTTAAGCTCACAACGTTTCGACCATGGTTTGTGGTCCTTTTCAAGTGATAATTGTGTCAAAAGTTCAGTGTGGTAAATTGAAGGAAAAGATCTTGATTTCACGAAAGGCAGAACATGACTGAGTCCAGTCTTTGACACAATTGCCACTTGAAAAGGACCACAAACCATGGTCGAAACGTTGCGAGTTTAAACATAAAAATTTGCCAGACATGGCCAAGCAATCATTGAAGTGTTTTGAATTAATTCACTCTATTGGAGTAAATATTCACCCGAATAGAGTGAAGTGGTCAGTGACACCATGATTCGAGTGAAATATTCACTTAAAAACTTTTAGAGAGTACAGTTACGGCTATCGATATTAAATAGCGTATTCTTCAAAGGCGAATTGCTTATTGGAATTTAGATGGCCATTACAGGAACGTGATCCGCAGTCAGTCGAATTTTACAATACATAAATTTTTATATAATATGTTTGCGCATGCATATTTGTTTCGCTGTTGGATAAAAATAACGAGTTTTTGCCATAGCAATATATATTTTATTTTGTCGACTCGTTACGCACACACAAAGTATAATACGCGAGGGGGAAACCGCTGACCAACATCTTGTACACCAATGCCCAGTGGGCATTACTTTATCTTATTATCTTATTTTATCTTATTTATCTTGTTTTATCTTATTTCTCTCCGTGTAATTAAATAGTTTCGGCATCTCGCTAATTGTCGTCCCGTGCATAGAAAGTCTGGAAAATCTGAATTTAGTTCCCATAAGAATTGCCGTAGTTATATGTCTAATTCCAGTACATCGAATACAGTGTTAAACTTGATAATAAACTGCCGAACAATATTGCATTATCGGAGGCAGGTGCCACGACGCCATTGGGCCGAGGTGACGTCGAAAATGACTGTTTGCCACAAAATATGAATACCCGGACTGGCGGAAGGCGGGGATAATTGTCTCGGGGTTTACTTGCAGACAGGTCTAATGTGATTGGTAGTTCCGGAGCGGACGTCGGAGGTTTCTCGGAGGACAATCGAGTTTGTGCTCGGCTGGCAATTACACTCTCCGCTCGTTACGCGGTTTGACAAACTTTCTCTCGCGGCGGCGAAAGACGCTCGGGTCCCGCGCGCCCGATCGAGGCCATTTTCGTTGAGCTGAAAGTTGCAGTAATTGCGGGGCAAAGTAGGTTCCGCTGCTCTCGGGCTCTCTTCATCGCCGCGTGCCAAAACTGAACAATAACAAATATTAAACAGCGGCGGCGCGTTTCCGCTCAGCCGCTTGCCTTTTAACTCCCCCTCCCCCCCCCTGACAATGCGGCTTCGAATTGCGCGAGAAAATTGCAACGCTAAATTAATTCGTTCGTTTGCAACGCGCATCGCTCAATTCTGGAATAGCGCGCGCCGCGTTGATAATGGAGAGAGAGAGAGAGAGTGCAGTTAATTTAACTTTTTCGTACGCAATTAATAACTGCTGCGCAGTGCGAACACTTATCGCTTGCTCGCCGGCAATAAATTGAATTACTCTATTGGAGTTCGTCAAGTTCTCAGCCGCATGGATTGTCGCGTTTAAGCGCGACGATAGAAATGGCGCTCCTGCGCGGCAGCCTCACTTTTATTACGCGCACTAAACTGCGGCGCGATCCTCGCCAAGTAAAAGAATGGAGCAGTCGTAAAGGGAGCGCACGTACGGATAAGAGGCCGGGGGCATTCGTTATATCTAAATCTAAATTAAGTAGAACCGAGCACTCTCTCCAGAAAATGTTTCCCGCCTGAATAAATCGCGCAGCCTGCCTAGAATTTTATGTATGTACACTTGGTAAGGTTGTTTAAACAACTGACTGCCACGACTGCGTTTTTTTACCTCATTCGCTTCCATTTTTTTCGCACCAACAGTTATTTTTGCACATTTTATTGCGCGCCTAACCTACCCTCCTCCCCTCACCCCCTCAACCCCTCAACCCCTTTGCCCCGCGAGAGAAAACCCCGCCGATCGCGACGTGTCCGAAAAGCGAGGGCGTGTATACGGCACGCAAATAAAACGCTCGCGTTTCGACGCGAGCCGCGCGCGCGCGCGTATAACCCGTTTATCTCACACCCTAATCTAATTGGTGCATCACGGAGCATTATGCGTACACAATATTTGCCCGCGACACGGCGGTTACAGTTATTGGTTTATGCACCTCTTCCGGCGCTAATGATGTTCTACGATAACGAATTTAAAACGCCTGCCGAGTACATCGGCACACATGGAGAATACGCTTCCCATTCTTTGGCTCGAGTGTCGCGGTAGGATCCGTTACGTAATTAAAACGCCCGCGAAGGCAACGATTCGCGTATATACGTGTGACGAGCATTTCATTTACCGCGTCAGCTCCCACTTGTCTTCCTCCACGGACACGTTTTTCAAGTATCCGTTCCCCTCCCCCTCGTTTCTTTTAATCATGTATTCTTCCCGTGTACTGAGATGTCTGGGTATTTTGAGTAATGCACGCGCTCGCGTGTCCCTCCGCGCAATTCAACGCCAAATTTCGTCTCTTTTATCGCGGAGTTATTTTTAGATTAATTAGCCACCGTGCGACACGTCGGATTTTGTTTTCTCCCCGCGGTATAAATATAAAGTGTCATTGGCAATGACCTGTGCGAGATAAGATAGTGTTAAATTTACGATCATGGCCCCATTGCGCTTTTAATGTTGTCGCTGGTGACCGTCCAAGTGAAATATCGTCTTGTAAAATATGAATCTGGCTTAGTTCCATCGCCGACGTTACCGCACTCTACGTTTGGAGGGAGGGGGGGGGGGAGAGAAAAAAATAATTACCAAGTCTTTATTTGACAAGATTCCGCGCGATTGCCGCTTAATTATGCGCGAGTTTAATCGACGAGATACTAATTTGCGAACAGCTGGCGAGAATCATTTTCGCATTACGTTATATCTGCGATACGCTGTGCACAGTGACGCGGAATGCGAGGTCTTTTTCTTCCAAGTATCCTCTCTCTGAGAATATATCCGCGTTTGAAATTCTATTTTTCTTTGTAGCACCGACGCTTCGATGCATCGCGTTGCGTATTTCATCCATAGATGAAGTCTGAAGGTTAATGCGTTTTTTAAAATCTGATTTTGCTTATATGTTTTCCACACTTGTTTACCATATTTCGTCAAGTGGTAATTTGCAGGAAATAGTCATCGACAACATTGTATTTTTTAGCGTTAATTATTATTACACTTACAAAAAGGCGTAGCTAAGCAAGCCAAGTCACACGCCACATTACGCTTAGTTTTATCAGTCCATCACTCATTATATACGTATTTATGATATGTTAATTATTAATAACTATATCTACTATACCTAGAAACAAAGAATTAGTTGGGTTTAATTATAATTTAGGTTGACTGAGGTTAATTTAGTTGAACAAACGAGATACGTTGAAGTCATGTTTCTTTGAATCTACCAAATTTTTATTTACTTCTCGAACATTTGCTGGATTGAAGTAGATATACTCTCTTGGAAATTCCAGTTAAGGTAAAGAAAAGTCTCGTAAGGTGAAAATTCAAACAAATTTGTTTGACTTCGAAGCTTTTCTGGGCGTACAAGTAGATCTCTATTAATTATGCGATTCTAATGCAGCGTATAAAATAAATAAAATAAGAAATGAAATTATTCTTACAGTTTAATATATGTGCAAAGATAATATACAATAAGTGGAAGTGGGTAGATATCTTCAGACGCTCTTCATCAATCTACTTCTACAGTCTTCCGCGACTAAATAATTTAATTTCTTCGCTCGAACGAAGTGAGAATGTTGCATTGTGATTGCAACTTTAGTAGAACATTATTTATCACATCAGTATTATTCAGCACTGACGTCGACGTATCATAAAATTTATCTTGTAATAAATGCAAAAAAAACAAGTTCAATAATAAGTTTCCTAGACACCGATTATCGAGAGAATTCGTTAAATTAGTATTCGAGCCGACTCAACTTTTCCGTTCAGTTTTTCCGTTCAATTCTTCCTGGATCTGCTGCAACGACTTGCCTTTGGTCTCAAGCATGCAGAAATAAGTGTACGGTACAGCGGTTACCAATAGCAAAGCGTACACGTAATACAAGTACTTTTCCGTGAGCAAATTAATTAAAGGCTGATATGTCGACGTGGAGATGAAAGAGGATATCGCACCGACGATGCTGGCGAAACAGCCGGCTACGCATTTAACGTGCGGCGGAAAGATCTCACCTAGTACCGCGTTGGGTATCGAGATGATGCCGATGTATAGGGCTATCTGGAAGAGCAATACCGAGAAAATCGGTAGAGCCTGAAGGTCGGCGGGGTCATAGCCTGCGTCGAGAAGCTGATACTGTGTACCCAGACTGATCAGCGAGATCGTGACGGCCAAGGTGGAGGCGATCATCAGAAGTCGCCTGCCGAACTTGTCGATCAGGAACATGGAGAGCATGGAGCCGACGATCCCCATAGCGGTCACGATGATTACGATCACCGACGGCTCTACGACGGTCACTTGGGCGTTTCGCAGAATGATCTCCATGTAAAACAATACATTGTTCAGGCCGCACATCTGAAGATACATGTAGAGCAGGGACACGAGTACTTGCGCTTTCCATATATACGGAATTCTGAATTCCTTTATAACGTCGGCGAAGGGTAGACTTTTGTTCTTTTCATGAAAGAGCTTCAGCGTTTGCAGCTCCGACTCCACGTCGCAATCACGGTGATACCAGAGAATCGAGGCTCGCGCTTTAGTTTCCTCCTTAACTTTAATGAAATGATGCGGCGATTCCGGCAACCAAGTGAAGATAACGAGCAGTACGAAGCAGAGCGCGAAGCATATGGTAGCGGTCATTTTCATACTTAAATACGCGCCCATTATGCTCATCATGAGGTTGCCTATTGATAATCCCGTTACAGCTGCAAAGAAAGAGTTAATCCTCGTTAACATTCAAATATAATTTCATATGTTATTATATAAAATTATATTTACATACTATATTGATCGTTAACATGATTAATTTTTTACTACTTGTGCGTTTCCTTTCATATTATATCTTTTCTCAGCAGTCCCAGTTCTTATCGTAAATCGGAAAGCATTGCATAGATGCAAATTAAAAGTTCTATCTCTATTATGTATATGAAAACAACAGAATTGCGTAGCATATTATATTACAGTCAGACACTATGTTTAACAAGAAAACTTGTTAGAAATAGAGGAGACTCCTCTATTATGAGATAGTAGGTTTTCAATGTCCAAATTCAATCACAAATTTTTTTTCGCAACGATTACACGATCTAACAATCGATTTTCCGCTAAACAGATTTCACCCCAAGGGTACAAAATTTATGGTGGAACCAACAGATAATGTCCCTGTCAATTTAGCAGAAACTCCGCTATCTTATAATGGGGGACTTTTTTCTACTAATTTCAATTGCTGAACGTAATTTTGTTGATTATGCAAGTTATTTTATTGCAATAGGAAAATATATTTACTATAGATGCTTTACTACTTCGCTATTGACAATAAATAAAATTTGCCTTAGCATTTGCATTACAAATTTTACATGAAATTTCACGTAAATTTTACTCGATAAAATTTTTCAATAATGTTGTTGTAATTCACAAATTTTTCTGTAATATCGAGTATGATATTAAAGTTCAATCGATTTCGCATTTCAAATATACGATATCGCAGTGATAGTTCAATAATACACATTTTGCTATAATATCGAGTATAATAATGAAATTTGATCGTTTTCGCATCGAATAATATATACGATTTTAGTAGTTTTTGCCACAATAACAAAATCTTTTTTTTTTCATATACATAAAGTTATTCTGCACTATCTTGGACGCTGTCTACTATCTTAACATTTGCTGTCGAATTTCGACCAATATTTTTTATTATGATATAATCATTTGAAAATTAAACGAATGGAATTGTTGGCCGGTTATCATTTTGAGATATCTCGATATCAAGCAATCTATTTTTAAAAAATTGTATTCTGTATTTATCCGCGAAGATTCTCACACGCACACACGCGCGCGCATACGAAACACGAGTACTGAAGTGCGTACCTAAAACCACCAGAGCTCCGCGAATGGTAGGATCCGCGATCTCGCCTAGGTACAGCGAGAAACAGCTGTACATCTTACCCATACTGATGCCAGCTAGCAACCTGGCTGCGTACAGCCATTCCACTCGATCAGCCACAAATATAAAGAGCCAGCAGAGAGTTATTGGCAAACTCGTCACGAAGATTGTTGTTTTAGTGCCGAGATAGTTGACGGCAACAGAACCAGAAATGGCGCCAATTAGCCTGCCTAGGTTCAGTAGAGAAACTACCCAAGAAGCCTCGTCCATTGTCACGGGTATGTGAGATTCGGGTGAAGTCAGATATGCGACGTATGGTGAACTCCAAACCGATATCAGTCCCATTTGCAGCTGCAGAAGATTAACTAAGAATGGAAAAATTGCTAGCTTGGTTATTTACCTCACCGATAAATTTAATATCAAGCATATATTAAGCAATGTTTGTGCAGACTTATATACAGGGTGGTCATTATCCAAACGATTATCCAAGGTCGAAACAATTTTACCACCTTATGTCCCCCTCGAAACCATACAACTTTTATCTGAAGCATTTTTCTCGATCTGGCTTACCTGACGAAATATTTCCGATTATCGATTAAAATGTACCACCCTGTGTATTCAGATTACTTGACAAAGGTCCAAATCCGAGACCGAAACGTTGTAACGTGTTTTGTTTTTTAAAATAGAAACCCTGGCCAGTGTAGGTGGTTAAAATTGTATATCTTTAGTTATTTATATTTATTTCAATTTTAATAGATGAGTATCTTTTTTGTGGT